ACAAACTAATCGTGAAAATGATTACAAACAAACTAATATTGAAAATGATAACGAACAAACTAATATTGATATTGATAACGAACAAATTAATATTGAAAATGATAACGAACAAACTAATATTAAAAAGGATAACGTGCCTTTGAACATATATGATCAAAGTAGATGGAATAATATTAGTATTAATTTAAGAGATTTAATCATAGAAAAAGGTCTTATTAAGATTTATGATTTTAAATTTCAAAAAGATTAACATTTAAGAAGCTTTAGTATATCTTTTTATATGCAAAAAATACCAAGTGGAGAAAAATACGAACATACATGGTTGATTTATTCCATAGATGTAGATAGAGTTTTTGTTTTTGTTGTAAATTATTTAATGTGAATACATCTACATGTTCATTAGCACATAAAGGTAATAATGACTGAAACAATATTTCTAGTACTAAAAAGACATGAAGCAAGTAATGGACACATTCTTAATATGAGGTCATTGATTGACTTACAAACTAGATTAATAAATAATAAAACAATTGACAAGCAAATCCAAGAACAAATAAATAAAGAAAAAAGACATTGGAAAAATGTGTTAATAAGAATCATTGTTGTAGTAAAAACTTTATGAAAAAAATAATTTAGCATTTCGTGGAACAAATAGAAAAATTTATGAATAAAATAATGGTAATTTTTTAACTATAATTGAAATGATTGCGAAATTTGATCTTATTATGCAAGAACATATTAGGCGAATTAATGACAAAGAAATTCATAATCATTATCTTGGACATAATATGCACAATGAACTTATTAGTTTATTAGAAGAAGAAGTTAAAAGTAAAATTATTAAAAAAGTAAAAGAAGCAAAATACTTTTCAATAATACTTGATTGTACTCTCGATACAAGTCATAAGGAACAAATGTTAATTATCTTATGATGTTAAGATCTTTCAACAACTCCTATAGAAGTTAAGGAGTACTTTCTAGAATTTTTAATTGTAGATAATACAACCGGTAAAGGTCTATATAATGCTATAATTGATGAAGTTAAAAATATAGGATTAGATATAAATGATGTTAGGGGTCAAAGTTATGACAATGGATCAAATATGAAAGGAAAACATCAATGTGTACAGAAACGATTGTTAGATATTAACCCTAGAGCATTCTACACTCTTTGTGGTTGTCATAGTTTAAATTTAGTAATTTGTGATATGGCTAATTCATATGATAAAACTAGTGAATTTTTTTGGAGTTATACAACGTATATATTCGATATTTGCTTCATCAACTCAAATGTGGAAAATATTACAAGATAATATATCAAACCTAACACTTAAATCATTATCACAAACTCGTTGAAAAAGTAGGGTAGAAAGTGTAAAAGCAATTAGATTTCAAGCACCACAATTAAGAAATGCACTTTTACAATTATCCAAAAATTAAAAGTGAGGCCAAATGTTTAGCTACATATGAACTTGAAAACTATGAATTTTTATTAGGAATGATTAGTTGGTATGATGTTTTGTTTGCTATTAGCACTGTTAGTAAAAGCTTGCAATCAAATGATATGTGTATCGATGATGATATAAATCAACTAAATGAACTTTTGTGTTTCTTTGAACAATATAGAGAAAATGGATTTGAAAAGCCTTTAGATTATGCAAAAGAATTGACTTTAGAAATGAAAGTAAAACCGGAATTTTCGTGAAAAACGTATCATTCAAAGAAATAAACGATATGATGAAAATGTTGCTAATGAAACTATTAAAACTCATCTTCCATTATTTAAAACTGATTACTTTTTATATATAATAGATAAAACTATTACTTCCTTTAAAAGTAGATTTGAGCAATTTAATGAGTTCAAAAATATTTTTGGTTTTCTATTTAGTATAAAAAAATTAAAATCATTTGATGAAAATACTTTAAAATAACATTATTTAAATCTTGAAAAATCATTAAAGCATGCTGATAGCTTAGATATTGATGGTTTAGATTTATTTCATGAACTAAAACTTTTAAGAAATATTGTACATTTAGAACGTGATACAATTATTAATAATTAAAAAGTTTAGTTCTTTTTCAAATGCATATGTTGCCTATAAGATTATGTTAACTATTCATGTAATCGTTGCCTCTGGGAATATAAGTTTTTCTAAATTACAGTTGTTAAAAAATTATTTAAAATCTACAATGTCATAAGAAAAGTTAAATGTATTAGCTATTTTGTCAATTGAAAAACATTTAGTAAAATGAGTTGATTATGAAAATTTTATTAAAGAATTTGTATCTAAAAAGGCTAGAAAAATTAACTTTATGTCTTAAATATATTCACAAAAAAACATATACATAATAAAATAAAAAATTTAACTTCATCATTTATAAACTTTTTAGTTTATTATTGCCAGTCCCAAGCCCGGATAAAAAAAGAGGGTTTATAGCGTTAACTATAGTAAATGTCAAAGGGCCCCAAATTTTTGGTTCGTTTAGAGCCCCAAATTAGTTGAACCGCCCTGCTAAGCTTAAGGCCTTTGAACATTGGCTAGGTCCATTTTCTATTTAGTCTTAGAGCATTAGGTATGGGCCCGTTGAGGTGGTGTTATAACACCTTATTAGGCATGCACAAACCAGTTTATTTTTCAAACCGAACCGATTCTTTAAACCGGTTCGGTTCACTCCCTAGCCAAGCAAAACCGGTTCAGCCTCAAACCGGTTCAGTTCAAACCGGTTCACTCAAAAAATTAGTCGAACCTATCTAAACCGGTTACACCGGTTATAAACCGGTTCGGTTCGGTTCCATACCGGTTCACACGATATAAACTGGTTCTAAACCGGTTTCAACGACTAAAATCTCGAACGGGTGTAAACCGGTGGTTCGGTTCTCAAACCGGTTCGGTTCACTGTGGACCGGTTCAGCGTAAACCGGTTTACCGGTTCTTTGACCGGTTCGGATCTTGAACCGGTTTTTTTGTGCATGCCTACACCTTATAACACCAAGGGAGAAATGATGTTCATGGTGTTATGACCATGTTATGAGGAGGTTAAGAGGAGAAAAATAGAGAGAGAAGAAATGTGCAGCCAATCAATGTCCCGTTTCAATATGTCATAACACCAACAAGATATGCCATAACACCAAGGGGAAAATGGTGTTCATGGTGTTATGACCATGTTATGAGACGTCACATCAGCAAAAATACCACTTCTCGTTTTCCCTATCATATGCTCTTAGGGGTGTTTGGGATTGCTTTTTAAACTAAAAATTCATTTTTTAGAAAAAATGTTTTTTGATTTATGTCTTTTTCCAAAAGAAAATTTTAAAATGCGTTTGTATGAACTTTTGAGGGTGTAAAGGGGAAAAAAGTCAAAAGTTACTAAAAATTTTATCTATAACTTTTTAAATACCTCATTTTTTTCTTATGAGAAGTTTAATCTAAAAGAACTTTTGAAGTTAGCCAAGAACTTTTTTAACTTTTTATTGAAAAAATCATTTGAAAAGAATGCCACACACCCTTTTAAAATTGGGTTTTAATATAGAAGATAGATAAACTCCAGCCCCATCACTTAAAAAGCCACACTTTGGTGCATAAATCTCAAAATTAACACGGCCGATGAAATACTTGATACATATATGAGTATGGAAACACGGGTGTTTTGTTATTCAATTACCAAATATACGAGTATGTGCTTCTTATTTGCATAAACATCGACGATACATTTTTGTGTGACAGAGGGCAGAATGAATTTTATATCGGGATTCAGTGAGCAGTTAGACTGCAACATGGCCTTGATTGTGGCAGGGGCTTGCAAGGTCAAGGAGTCCGAGCAGGCACATCACATGGTTTAGATATATAAGCTTTTGGAGTAGATATATGTGATAGCTTCACAAGAGAAATCGTCAAACACCATTTTGTTTCCATCTGTTTATTGGTTGATCAGTGTTCCATTACACCCAATAATTTGAGCGGGTGAGTAATTCCATGCTTCAACACCTAGAGAATTCAACATTCCAAGTGTCTAAACAAGTGAGGATGTACAGTTGTGTTGCTATCCCATAAATCTACTCCAAAAAGCTTGCGTATGTTTGACCAACATTCTTAACTCCAATTAAATCTGTCTCATCTTTTCAAGAGTAACTACAGAAGTCTCTCTGGAAAGATCGATCATGCTATGAGGCGTCAATCAGAATGGCAATGGATGAAGGTAATTCAAAATTCTCCTAAAAAATATTTCAGACAAAAATACCATCTGTATGTTTAATTTGGAAATGGTGCAGGTTTTCTGGACTTGACTTGTTCTTTCGAGAGGGTTTCTTCATGGAGTATGAGATATCTTGATTCCGCTCCGTAGTAACTTTCTTTTTATCTGTTATAGCAAAAACTTAATCAACCCAATTTTTGGTAGTGGGTCGAAATTGGCGTGTTCCTTGTCTATGTTGTGCAATTAAAATTATTGATGTTGGAGTATTTTATGATTCCCATACCTATGAAGTATGAAGTGAAGCTAATTCTGATTGCTAACAACTAAGCCCTACACGTTACTTCACCCTGGTGGTGTGCAGAGTGCAGTGCAGGATGTTCTCCATTGTAAGGTGTGTTGATTATATTTATATTTCTCACAAAAGATTCATCAAAAAAGAAACATTTTTGAAGAACCCTTGTCTAGGTGAAATGGATACAGAGAGGATTAGGATTTGCATATAGCTCCTCACTTCCTCTTCTTTTTCCTGCTGGATTTTTTCTTCTATTTGAAGCCTTTGATGCTGATTTCTTATACATGTTGCCACATCAGCAATTAAATTCAGATATCTCATGCGTAACATGTTACCCTTGTTCAATGGTTCATGTTGTTAGTCATCTTAGAGATGATAGATTGCCACCAGAATAGAAAGAATTTTGATGTTCTTTAACTCTCCACAGCAGGCCTGATGATCATCTCTTGATTCCAATTTCTATAAGCTTGGTTTCAAATCAAGTCAAGTATAGAGATCCTCTGTTTCACAAGCTATGAGGTCTCAACCAGAATGGCAATGGCTGAAGGCAATTCAAGATTCAACTCACATTTTTTTAAGACACCTACAGATAAAATACAACATGTATGTTTACTTTTGAAATTTATGCAGGTTTCTTGGACTTGCTCTTCTGAGAGGTTTCCTCACAATCTCTTGTTTCTGCTGTGCAACATCAACAACAACAATTTCTTCTCTTGGGCTAAAGAGATAATGACACCTGCCAAGGTTCTCTCTCTCTCTCTCTCTCTCTCTCTCTCTCTCTCTCTGTGTGTGTGTGTGTGTGTGTGTGTGTGCGTGCACATGTGGTTTGTGATCAACTGATTTCTTCTAGGAATACAAGATGATGACTTGTCTTCCATCATTATTAGGCGGTTTGTGATCATATGAACTTGTACTTGCTTTACATAGTCACATTTTAATACAAATTAGGATTTGTTTTTTGCCAAATTAAGGACAACAACTGATGAATGCAAAAGTTAGGAGTCTACAGGCTCACAAGGAAGTAGAGTATGTGACATATGACTAGGGGAGAATGATGTCACAAAGAGCAAGATAGAAAACAATAAAAAGATTGTTATTTGCTTTGAAAACTCTAGTATTTACATTTCGATTCTTCATACATACTTGTAGCCTTGTTTGATGGAATTTCAAGCAAGCTTTATTTCTGAAGGGCGTAACAACATTCGGTCACTACTTACACAAAAAAGTAACAAAATACAAAGTGGGACTCCATTAATAGTAATTTGCATAATGGAAATTTAAGGAAACTCAGTCATGCACCAAAATACCTTCTGTGCACCTAAGTTATGTGCTCACTAGAATTCCCACATCTTCCTCATAGTTTTTATTTATAAAATGGCAAATAGATAAAATCTTTTGCACTTTCACATATTTTAGTTTACGCACTTGGGGTAAAAGAGTTTATCAATTTCATATTTATACTCATAAAAATTTATCATTGGATAAAAATAATGTAATTGGAATGACTGTGAAAGTATAAGTACTCCATTGGCAACTCTTTTGGTTCGAGCATGTAATGGTAAAAAGTCATGAAAGTATAGTGATTTTTTGTTATTTATTTATTTTTGTATTAATTTTCTTGTAGCAACCACATTAAATTGTAATATAGTTATGAACATAACGACAAAAACGCTTTTGTTGAAATGTGGATTCGAGTAATCTGATATTGAACTGTAAACATAAATATATATATATATATATATATATATATATATATATATATATATTTTCAATGAAACTGCTGGTGTAAAAATTAAAACTGCCTCATTCATTTGGATATGAAATACACTTTTAAATTAATGACAACCAACTATGATACATAAAATGTTCTACTTTTTTTCATGAGATCTTGAACAAAGTTTTATCTGAATTGATAGTAAATTTAAATTGGACTTTTTAGGAAGGAACGCGTAATAATTATGTTTGTCAGCTTGCGTGTGTTCACTAAATATCACGACTTTATAACTAATAAATGACATCCAACATAAAAATCGTTGCACATTTTATGAGAGTAAAGTCAGTATTTTTGCACAATTTATGAGAGTAAAGTTGTTAGTGTGTTATATAAGGTGCATATTAGTAGAAGAACAGAAGCAGCATTGTGGTGGTGGTGGTGAAGCTTTTTTGCTCTATCATTTGTATTCTTTTCTGCTTTTCTTTTTTCTAGCATCAAGAAAGATGGCTTCCTCAAGTAAATTTCAGGATTTCATATCTGTTTATGTGTTTGAATTAGCATCAATTTGTTGATAGAATTAATTAATTTATGTTTTTTCCTTGTAGGCAATGATCAGGTTGATCTGCATACTCAGCTATGGCATGAATGTGCTGGCCTCACTGTGAAAGTTCCCCGTGTAGGCGATAAGGTCTTCTACTTCCCTCAAGGCCACCTTCAGCAGGTTTGTTTATATGCAATGCACATTAATTGCTTCATTTAATTCGTATTTGACTAATTATAAACACATGTAGTTGGATTATTTTGAGTTAATTAATATGTAATCTTATAACTTCAGAGTGTTCCAACTCTTATATCCCAAACCAGATGGTGTAAAATGACATATTTAATTATTTATAACTAGTTTAAAATGTTATAATTACTTTTTTTTTTTGATTTTATGATTTATGAATCGGTTATAGGTTGAGGTGTATATGAAGCAGGAAGGCATGAGTGATATACCATCCTATGGGTTACCTTCAAAGATTCTTTGCAAGGTTGTCTGTGTTCAGTTAAAGGTAATGTCAAATGTTCATCTGTTGCAATATTTTTAGCCACTTTTCTTAATTTCCAGTTGTATTTTTCAGGCAGAAGTTGATACCGATGAAGTGTTTGCTCAGATTACTTTGATTCCAGACGTAAGGATATGTTATGATTTTTTATAATTTACTTTCTTATTTTTTCTTTAACCGGAAAAAAGGTAGGATCTGACTTTTAAGATTGAATGGACTAATTTTTTCAAATGATTTTATAGTTTGAAGAACCTAAAGGATCAACCTTTAGAAGTGTTCCTCAAAAGATTCCTGCAACTTCTTTCCGGAAGAAATTAACTCCTTCTGATGTAATCAAACAAGGGGGATGCAACCTACACAAGAAACATGTTGATCAAACCTTTCCACCTCTGGTATTTAATGTTGCTTTACTATAAAATTTTATAAATTTTGAAATATTTGTTGATATTTATTTATATGGTCAACATTGTCATCTTGTTGTTGTTGTTGTTGGAGGACATGAGTCAGGATGCACCATCTCAAGAACTATTTGCCAAAGATCTTCATGGGAAAATATGGAACTTTCACCACATCTGTCGTGGTAATTAATACCTTTTGATAAAATTTCATGAAAATCAAAAGCATTTTGTTGGATTAGAGTACTTCCATTTATAGTTGATCTCACAATTAATGAGCATTACCAGTAAAGTAGTATGATTTTGTTTACATTAAAACTTTTTTTTTTATTTGGATAATTTTCATTTACAGGTGTGCCAAAGCGACATATACTAACTACTGGTTGGGGTAAATTTGTGAGTGCAAAGAGGCTTGTGGTAGGAGACACCTGCATTTTCTTAAGGTTCTCTATCTAGTTCTATCCTACTTCCTTGTATTTGTATGTGTTGTATTTATAAAAATATAGTATAATTTTGCATTTTGTTGTGATAGAGGGCAAAACCGTCTTTATGTCGGGGTTCAGCGGGCAGTGAGACTGAATAAATTGTCAACAGATTTATCATGTGTTAATATGCAGCATGGCATATTACTCACAGCCCTTGAAGCAATCAACACAAGAACCGAATTCACAGTATATTACCATCCTCGGTAAGCTTCTCTTTCATCTCTTTGCCTGATTCAAACTGTTACTGAATCTTTGGATTTATTGCAGGATCAGTCCCTCAGGATTTATAGTTGCCTATAATGATTTCATGGAATCGCTTAAAGTTAACTTTTCACCGGAAACGAGGGTTGAGATGGTTTTAGATGAAGGAGGAGAGGAGCCGGAGTTTAACTTGAAAAAGTTGGTATTTTTTTTTTTTTTTTTTGCATAACTAAGAATTAATAAGATTTTATTATTAATTGAAGAGAATGGTGTTAGCAGGTTTTCTGGGATCATAATCGGAAAGGAAGATGTTGATCCTAGTAGGTGGCCTGAGTCTGAATGGCATTGCTTGAAGGTGATACCCACTTTTTTGGAGACACCAAAGGGTAAAATAGTAAATAATTTGAAAATGTTGCAGGTTTGCTGGCATGGGACGGCCTCTGGAGATGTTCCTCCTAAGAGGGTTTCCCCGTGGAGCATTCAGTCAGTTGTTTCTGTACCGCAACCGCAAAAGAGATCCATGATTGGTAAGTAAAGTAAGTTGTTGTTTTCAAATACCAATAAATAAACCCATTTTTGGTCGAAATGCATGACAAAATATTGGTGCAGGTTATAATAATAATAATAATAATAATAATGAGTTGGGAATGCAAGGTGAAGGAATCAGAATGAAGGAAGTGAGTATTCCGAAAGTCAACAACATTCCCAGGGAAGACGATGAGAGGAGTAAAAAATGCAGGGTTTTTGGAGTGGATATAGGGGGGCATAGGATTAGCAACACCCATCCTCCAGACTCATCAAATGCCGGAAACCAACAATCTAGTTACATAAAGGTAACTATTTATTCCAGCCAGTTACTGTTACTGTTACTGTGAATATGGTGTAAATAAATAAATAAATATTTAATTAATTAAGGTGTTGAAGCATGGAAGTTTTGTTGGAAGATGTGTGGAGGTATCACGTTTTAGTGGGTATGGAGGACTTATGTGGGAGCTTGACAGGATGTTTGGGTTTCAAGGAGGGTTGGTCAGCGGCACCAGCGGATGGATTGTCACATATAATAATAATAATGCAGCAGCAGCAGATGGAGATGGAGATGCCAACAAAAAGCTGCTTGGTGATGTCTCGTGGTCGTAAGTATTTTTTTCTTTTTCGTTAATGTTGAGTTTAGATGTATAAATTTATATGTGAAAAATGGGTGGGGTTTGATTTTAATGTGTATTATTGAAGATAATAATTAACCAATGGGTGAAAATGAAAATGAATGCAGGGAATTTAGAGGGGTGGTGCGGAAGATGTGTATCTGTCCAAAGGAAAAGGAAGAGGCTGCTACATGGAACAAAATCAGCGGGTAGCAAGACAAGCCACATGCCATGGACTGCTTCTCTTCTCTTCTCTTCTCCGGGTTTAGGTTTATTTTTGTGGGTGTCTGGTTTGTTGTTCATTTCATAAACAATGTAAGTTTATTTTCTTGGAATCCAAACAGATATGTTAGGGTGCAAAGCTCTTCATTGGATGGTGTCTTGGCTTAACTTTTGTGATATGGGTTTTTGGGTTTTGGCCTAGTGGTGAGGAGTGACACTCTCAAATGAGAGGTCATGGGTTCAAGTCTCATTAGGAGACATATGTGGTTTTAGGAGTAGGTTAGTTTGCCGGTTAAAAAAAAAGTGATTGTATAGGTTGAGAAAGCTCCCATGAGAGAGAGAGAGAGAGAGCCCCTTACATATTAAATTTTATTTTTCTTTTAAAAAAAAACCTCATAAATGGTCCATGGGGTAGTGAAATGACGATAATGCCCTTCACTTAATGGTAGAAAGCTGACGGAGTGAGGCATAAGGACCAAACATTGTATAGGTTGAGAAAGCTCCCATATAAGAGAGAGAGAGAGAGACTTCAATTCCGTATTTGTCATTTTCATTGGGATCCTACATGTGGTATCAGAGTTTAATCTTGAAGGTTTAATAACTTTTTCAAGATCAATGATCATTGATGACAATATTTTTGGTGTGTAATCGACTCGAAGATTTGAATTTTTGGTGGGTCTCTCCATTGGATCTTTTTGCTTTCAACTCTAAATTTGCTGATCCAGTTATCCTTTTAATTCAAAATCAATCAAAATTTCTCGTAATGGTGTTTTTTAAATTGTTTTTGATCATTTTGATTCCATTGGATTTTTTTGTTTGGCTTTTCATTCAAAATTTGTTGATCCAATTATCTTTTGATTTAGCACAATCTATTCATGTAATCCTTCAATCCAAAATAAGCCCAAAATCATTTAATTTTTTGATCGAGTCCAATTTATATTGATTGAGCCCAAACAATTTATTCATTTACTGTTCATCATATTCACATGGAAACCCAAATCTTTAATGTATTAATGTTCATCGATCATATTTTTTGAGCCAAATTGTTTGTATCTATTTCATGTATCCAAATTTTGTTTGGCCCTAATTCACATCTCGTTTGTATCATTTGTTTTATTATTGTTCATTCTCAATTCATATATCATTCATTGAAACTCAAAATCGATCGTGTTATATGTTCTTCAAACGCTCGAATATCATCAATCGAACAAACGACAATCTATCTGATTCGTTATTAGTCGTATTTTCTTCGTCTATTCACTGCTAATGATTCAATCGATTTATTATGAATTGAAGTTGGTGATGATTTGGTGACTAATGGATCCGAGGAAGAATACAGGAAGTGGTAATTTTGTTTTGGTACAGTTAGCATTGAAAGTTTCTGGATATTCATTTTTGGCGAATGATCATTTTTAATTGAAGACCGATGTGACCTTGAAGAAAAATTGTTTATGAAGTGATTTGAATTGCTTAGAAATCAACAACCCCAGAATAAAATTTGCTCGTATAGCATAAGGACCACTTTTATTGCACTATTATCCTTTCTTTCTCGATGAAGTGGTGGCATGGAGTAAATTTATAAAAAATCCCCTTATGATCTTGTAGGTGGATTTTGAGAAATCCTATGACTCTTTCTCGTAGGATTATCTCCTTGAGATGATGCAAATTATGGGTTTTGGGTCGTTTTGGTGTGGTTGGATTTTAGAGACGTTGAGGTCAGCTAGAGCTTTTGTTATGGTCAACGGATACCCTACAAATGAGTTTCAGATGCATAGAGATTTGAGACATGGAAATTCTGTCTCTTTTCCTCTTTATTTTGGTTATGGATGGTTTTCATATCGGTTTGGTTATGTCATAGTTGGTGAATGCTCTTAGGGGTTTATGTTTGTGGTTTGGAGATCTCACATTTATTATATGCAGATGATGTGGTACTTCTGGCGGAGTGGGATCCCGAGAATGCCAATATGATGGTTCATATTATGTGTTGCTTCTATCTTGATTCGGGTCTTAGAATCAATTTTCTTAAGCAAATTGATTGGAGCAGGAGTTCCTTTTTCTTTGGTTGAGGTTGTTGCAGATAGAATGGGATGTGTGGTAAATTCTCTTCTATTTATTCGTCTAGGTGTGCTCGTAGGTTAGAATATGGTGCAAGTTTCTGCTTGGTCCTCTATTATTGATCGTTTTCGGAGTAGATTGTCGGGGTGGAAGGAAAAATGCATGTATTTTGGTGGAAGGCTTACTTTGTTAAAATTAGTTTTTAGGAAGTCTTGGTAGTTATTCAATGTCTATTTTTCCTTTTCCGATTTTGGTTGTTTAGAGATGTTGAGAGCTAGATTTTTTGGGGTGCGGATCTAGATGAAAGGCGCATGCATTGGTTCAGATGAGATAGAGTGCTTGCCGGTAAGGGTGATTAAGGTGTGGGGAACCTATTTTCTTTTTAACAGGGTTATGTTTTTCCAGTGGCGTTGGCGTTTTTATCACTACCCATATCTGATGTGGGTTAGGGTGGTCCAAAGTATTAATGCTACAAATAGTGGGTGCCCCTCGCTTTATTCTAAGTAGTGCTTGGTCGGGCCCTTGGATTAGTATTATCCGTATGTTAAGTCATCTAAGGAATTGTGATATTGATCTTCATTCGTTTTGTCCGATTCAGGTGGGAGATGGGAGATACACTTTTTTCATGAAGGGCAGGATGTCATGAAGGGTAATTCACCCCTTTCGGTTAGGTTTCATCGGATTGTTGCCCTTGATTTGCATAGGCATGCTTCAATTAGGTATCGTCTTTTGATTGGTCTGGAGATTGAGTCCCTCATACGTAGTCCTGTGGGGGGCGGGGTGGAGCAGACTTAATGGCAGAGATTTTACTTTCTTATTATAGGATCTTCAGTTGGCTAATAGACTAGATAGACTTGGATTGTCGCTCGATGTGTCTGATTCTGATTCTTTTTCAGTCTCTTCTACCAGAGTCTTTTTAGATAGTGGGATGTTATTTATTGGAGGTATGGAGACTTGGTGGAATAATCGGGTTCCTATCAAAGTGAATATCTTTGTTTGGAGTTTGCGGTTATTTAGTATCCCAACTAGAGAGAGGTTATCGTATATGGGAATTAAGGTGGAGACGATTATGGGCTCAGTCTGTTCTCATTCAGTTGAGACGGTTGATCATCTTTTCATAAGTTGTTGTGAGCTCATTCAGTTATGGACACGTATTGCTATTTGGTGTGGGGGGGGGGGGTTACATCTTCCTGATCCAATCTCCATTCATTATTTGATTTCTTGGAAGGATTCAATCATGTTGACGGGCGGGAAAATGAAGGCTTTTAAGGTTGTGTTGTGGGCTTCATTTTGGTGTTTATGGAATCTTCGTAATTCCATTCTTTTTGGGACGATGTTACCTAGGAAATTTTTACTTTTTGATGACGTGATCGATAAGACATTTTTTTTCAATAGGTTTAGAAAAGTAAAGTTGGTTTGGGCTTCTTGACTCCATAATCCCGCTTTAGATCGTATTTTATTGTAATGGTCTTTTTCTAGCGTCTTGCTAGTTTTTTAATAAAATCTCTGCCGTTCCAAAAAAACATATTTAGGGTAAAAGCGTAAAAAATTTGTAAACTTAAGGGTTTTTTTAATTATAAATTTGATTTCATTCTAACCTGGAAACTTGTAATACTACTATTAAAAAAACTTAACAAACCTTGGGCATAAACAAATATGGAATCGTCACCGAGATAAAACCAACATAATTTATCAAACTAAAGACTTTCATGTTGAAAGCACTTGATTATCGCATTTTACTTTCATTGTTTTTGTAATTATAGCATTTAACTTTCAATTTCTGTCGATTATAAAAAATTTCCTTTCATTTTTTTGTTCAACTATAGCATTTAACTTTCATTTTAATGTCAGTTATAAGATATTACTTACAATTTTTATCAATCATAACATTCAACTTTCATAATTACGGAATTCTCAACAAGCAAAATGTCAATTAATTTTATGATATTAAAGTACAATTTAAAACTTATTTTTGAATCGAGCCCACATTTATGCAGGCCTATTAGCTAGTAAAAGATATATAGATATACAAACTGATAAAATGGTCAAGGGATAATGACTTGAAAGGGTAACAAACTTTCGACTTTGTTCACATTTAGTCACTAAACTTTTTTTCGTTATCTATTTGGCACTGAACTATTGAAACTGTTCACATTTTACCCTTATGACCGGTTGTTACCGGTCATAAGGGTAAAATGTGAACAGTTTCAATAGTTCAGTGACAAATAGATAATGAAAAAAAGTATAGTGACTAAATGTGAACAAAATCGAAAGTTCATTTCCCTCTAAAAAAGTTCAATGACTAAATGTGAACAAACTTCCTATTGTATTATGTTTTAGCAAATTATTTATTTTTGTTAAATTCTAGCAACATTTGTTGATGAAGAATTCTATGAGATAAAAAAACAAAACCCTGAAAATATATTAAAAAAAATGAAAAACCGAAACCGAAATAAAAAACCAATGGTTTGGCATTTTCCAAAATAAAAAATCAAAATTTCCAATATGATTTTGGTTTTATAAAAAAAATGAACCATTCTCACTGATGTGAATTATGACCATTGGTTTGGCATGCGGAATTAAAGAACACATAAAGCACACGGTGATTTGGGTGTTTAAGAGATGCATTCGATTATGAAAGGTGTTTACAAAAAAAGATCTAGATCTAAATCT